ACAGTTCGTCAGAAACGACTTCACGCTCCCTCTCTCGTCAAGCAAGACACTTTGCTGTCCGTGAAGGCTTGTTGTATCGCCGAAATTACGTGACGGACGGCCGTAGGTGGCTCCTTGTCATCCCTCGTCATTTGCGTTCGGGCACCTGCGCTGCCTTTCACGATGACCCCCAGTGTGGCCACGCTGGAGTATTTAAGACTTACTCTCGCCTTCGTCTAAGATACTACTGGCGCGGCATGTAACGGCACGTTCGCCAGTACGTTCGGTCATGCACCACGTGTCAACGACGCAAGACGCCTTCTCACAGCACTGCTGGCCCTTTGCAACCCTTAATCTGCCCAGCGAGACCATTCGACCGCGTCGGAATTGATATTTATGGACCTCTACCCAACTCTCTTCGAGGCAACCGGTGGATTATCGTCGCCGTCGATCATTTGACACGCTACGCTGAAACATCTGCGCTGCCTGCTACCACTGCGAAAGACGTTGCGTCCTTTCTTCTTCACCATCTCATTTTGCGACACGGTGCACCTCGTGAATTACTGAGTGGCCGTGGACGCGTGTTTCTCTCGAATGCAATCGACGAGCTGCTCAAGGCATATCGCACTCTCCATCGGAAATCCTCAGCATACCATCCTCAAACCAATGGCATGACGGAACGCTTTAACCCTACCCTTAGAGATATGCTTGTCATGTACGCCTCTGACGACCATACTAATTGGGACCAAGTGCTCCCTTTTGTAACGTACGCGTACAACTCTGCGCCACAAACAACCACTGGCTTTTCTCCTTTCTTACTCCTGTACGGACGTGAGCCATCATGCTCCATGGACACCATTCTCCCTTACAGGCCTGATGTTTCCGATGCGACGCCTATTTCCGAAGCAGCTGCTTATGCCGAAGAGTGTCGTCAACTCGCTCGTTCATTTACCGCACAAGACCAATGGCACCAGAAAACTGACCACGATTCCTCGGCGTCTACTGTACACTATAACCCAGGAATGCTGGTTTAGCTCTGGGTCCCGTCTACCGCTTCCGGTCTTTCCCCGAAGCTTTCGTCGAAATACCATGGCCCCTACCGTGTGGTGCGGCAAACATCTCCTGTCAACTATGAAGCTGAGCCCATTGATCCACCTTCGGACCAACGCTGCCGTGGGCGTGAAACAGTACACGTATCACGCCTCAAACCGTGCTATGACCCCCTTGTCGTGTCCTTTCCCTAAGTCGCAGGGTTGGCTCCTTTCTGCGCGGGGAGTAATTGTACCGAAGCATAGTGGCGCCAGCCCTGCGCCAGCGTGAAAGAAGACGTTGACGTCCGTGTTTGGCTCGTGCTTGCCGGGTTCCTGCCTGTACCAGCTTGTTGCGGCTAACGTTTCTCGAATAATAACCTGTGTTTTTACGCAACCTTGGTCGTTCCAGATTATATATATATATATATATATATATATATATATATATATATATATATATATGAACATTTTCAAATTTCGAACTACAGTGCGCCGCATGAACTGTACCGTCCTACAACTTTCTCTATTAAGTCAGCGCGGCCAGTCTTCTTACTAGTCTCCTCTTAATCCAACCGGTATATTTTTTGATTGTTCATGTCAACATCACTTTGTTTGTCACAGCCTACTTGCACCACAACATGGCTCTGTCTTGGGATTTTTATAAAAATCTGTACCGTACAAAAAGAAAAGATCACCACGTGTATTTCCTATCGGCTGTTTTCTTTCAAGTAAACTGTTTTGAAATTTCTTTCAATTTAACGGTTTTTTTCTTTAATTTCGGGGTTCTAGACGCTGTACTTTTTTCTTAATTACTCCTGAATAAACGGTTATACGTACTAAAAACATGGTGAACGTTTTGCCACCATTTACAGAAGCTACCGATGCATACTCATTGTCGCCAACTTTTCTACGTTATCACTAAACGCGGATATTCAAGCATGCATGTTTATATGTGTTTGAACATGCAGACGAATCCGGCGCTTCTAATGTCCTCACAAATTCTAACTTTTGATTTGACGTTATGACATAATGTAGCTGAATTTCCTCGTGGTTATCCGGTATAGACATGCGTGATGTTTAACACTGATACATATGCAGTATAGCAGATACATTTGCGAACGTTATGTTTGTTGGGGTTTTTCTATAATTTATTTTTAGCAGATAGCACGTTTCTTTGAATGTCATCCAGCCTGGATATTTTGGGAAGCTATTCGAAGTTGATGTTCAGATTACGTGACTACGCGTCGCCTAGCAACCGGTTGCGTAGCTGTGCCCCGGCTTCCCCAATTGCAACCAAACGTAACAGATGAATTGAATTAACGTCGTCTCTCTGTGCCTGCTCTTGTAGTTTGCGAAATAATAAACTATGTCTGTAGGAGCGATGTCAAGAAGTAAACAGATGTAAACTTGTAACCGCAGAAAGGGAACTCTACAAAGAATAAAACATTGCAATGAAGTAATTTGAAGTAAAAGCAGGAAGTATCGTATCAGAAACAGTTATTCGGCGTGTATATATATATACATATATATATATATATATCTTTTATTTGTATCTCTAATTCTTACCATCTTTGCCTCTTGTATCCTGTCTCGATACAATTGCAAAGTCTCTTTGCTCAGCGTGTTTTTAGAGACTGTTGTAAGGCTGTGAAGCACGGACAAAGAATGAGACCACGACTCGCATTCACAAAACCTCTATGTATCTTTAGTACCGCAGAGTCACTCCGTTTTGTCTAGGAAAAACGACGAATAGTATGAATTAACTGGCAGAATATTTATTATAAGAGCCCGAAGATGATAAACCGTGTCGGTATTCGGGTTAGTGTCATGCGAACTTAAGAGAACTGTTTTATTTTGGCTGCTGTAGACCCATCTCTTTTAGAACCAAAAGTTCTCGTTTGCTTGTTTGTTTTTTAATGTCCTTGAAGCGTTTTTTTTTTTGCACTGTAGGCAAGATGTATCGCTCAAGACCCAATGTGCAAGCGAAGGTAACTTTGCGGCTTTCAAATCACAACCGCTAAGCTCAACCATTTCAAGTAAATAAGAATAAAAAAGTAGTATTCAAAAAAGATCGCTGTGGTGCCTTGTATAACATTAGCGAAGATATATATGGCATATCTGGGGCGCAAAAACAACCACCTGCAGTGAAGCTCAGACAAATTCTCGCACTACACCGATGGCCAGCTTCTTTTTTTTCCCTGTCAGGTAGACTAGTAACGAGTGACCTATGTCCTATCCAGACCAGTGGGTGCACTATCTCTCGAGAAGCAGAGCGGACATACGGCCCGACACGCAGTCGTGTACACAGAGAATGCTTGTTGCGTGCGCAATATAGTTATGTACGCTGCACTGCCTATATTATGCAGCAGAGAGGACGAGCGAGATGGTGCAATCAGCCAAGTGCATGCCATCGACATTTCGACTCCATGGGAAGAGGAGCAATAGGCCGAACCTGTGTCCCTAATGCTCGATCGATGGCAAATGGCTTCAATCAACGAAGTTGCTTCCTCGACTCAAAGCGAGAGTAAATATGCGAGGGACAAGCGAACGCCGCCTTACAACCGGGCCACGCCGGTTAGAAGAAATCGCTCTGCTAAAGCAGAAAATGAAGAAACTTCTCTACTGCACTGCCTTCTTTTGACTCGTCATGCTTCACGTGCCTTCGTACTACCACATATAAATCTGTGACAAGAGCATTAGAAGTTTCTTTCAAGATTCCAGGAAATGTTGCTGTCTTACAAAAACGCAATAACGAACACTGTTTAAGATGGAAGTGGGAGTTCTTGACTCTAGTAACAATAAAAGAAGTGTTCAAGGCAATCTTGAATTGTGATTACTAGCACATCAAAACTGCGAAGTGATTAATTTTGAATATCTGGCGTTTAGGGAATCCTATTATGGTCCAATTGAGCACATTGCACCCATGTGCACAAACTACCCGCACTCTGTAAATAACGGGTAATACCTCGAAATCTTTCGCAACACTGTTTCTATAGTTGTACAGAAAAGGTCATTTTCTTTATGAGAATGCGCTCTTTGTTTTGCAGCGATGAGGGCTAAATGATACAGGCTCGTGTACTGTTCGACGTCAATACATGTTAAAAAACACTAGATGGTCAATATTTCTAGAGCCCTCCACTATGGCACCTCTCAAAATCATATTTTTATTCAGAGATGTGAAACACCAAGTATCCTTACTATTGCTGTTTTTATACGCAATACAGTTGCACAAGTACAATATTGCAGTAGAGTTAGGCAGCCGAGCTGCCGTACTCAAACAACAGTGTCAGTTGCAGAACAAGGAATCCCCTGGTTTATTCTTGGGCCACGCTTTTATAGGCATGCGGTTGCTTATCAGCTGCCGCGTCAGCGCAGCTGATGACGAAGTGAAACGTCACGCAGTAGCCGTTATCACATTCCTTCCCCCAAGATTGTTTATCTTCAGTGACGGAAATCATGAGGCACGTATCGATCTGGCTCTTTCGTGTACGCTGGTTTCTGCGCAGGGCTGGTGGAGAGTCGGAAGGCTCTTCCGCTGGCGTCTGAGGAAGTTCGTCGTGAGCCACAGGCAGGAGCGATTTCTGCCCCCCTGTTGGCGGCGGGACCACCATTGTTGTGTCATCGGGAAGATGTTCTGTCGTGTTCGCCTCCGGATGCGCCTGCTGGGCGTGGTGGAAGCCTCCAGATGACCTGCAGAGTCCTCGGTAGCGGGTCGTGTCAGGGCCTCTGTACCGATGTTTGCTCCTGCATACTTGGAATAGCTGCGTGAGCACAAATGGTCAACATGAATGTGCCGGACTGTGTTCCGAGTCTCTACCAGATAGGTCACCGGACTAACTGGCCGCACCACTTGCCCTTCCGTCCACGATACCTTCTCTGGCCCGACAGTTTTCACGTATACCCAGTCTCCTTCACTAAATACAAAAAAAGTCGATCTCCGTCCGTCATGCTGCCGTTTCGAAGTTTCCTGCTTTCTCTGCATGTCGTCTCGAAACGATGGCCTCAGTAAGGACAACTTCGTGCACAGCGTTCGCTTCAGAAACAGTTCGGCGGGACACTTGCCTGTTGCCGTGTTAGGAGTGGTCCGATAGGCAAGCAAGAAGTCGTCCAGTCTCTCCCTCAGCAGCCTGCTGTTACTCCCCTTGCCGTGCATTAGCTGCTTGCGAAGGCTCCTCTTAACAGTTTGCACTGCTCTTTCAGCATCCCCATTGATTCAGGGTGGTACGGCGGGCTGTAGGTGCGCCGGATACCGCAAGCATCGAAGAAGTCTTGGTACTCCTGCGAAGAAAACTGGGGAACATTATCAAAAACCAGTTTGCCAGGGAAGCCATAAGTAGCAAACAAGCTCCGCAAGTGGTCAATAGTCTTTGCGGCTCTAGTTGATTGCATAGGAAACACTTCGATCCACATTCTGATCTTGCTCTACGGCTCGAACTTCTAGCCAGTTTAATTTAAGCTTCCTCAACCAGTTGCGACCAAGCAGACATGGCAACTCTCAACCACCACCGTCTACTATCAACACAGGTAGGGTATCAGACTGATCACCGTGTTCAACTCGCACGTTCGCTGATCCTACCACCGGCACTAGTTCCCCTGTGTATGTCCTTAAAGGAACAGTCGTTTTCTTGATAGTCAGTTGAGGAAATTTGCGCTGAAAAACGGATTTCGGCATGATGGTGACGGACGCCTCTGTATCTATTTGCATCTTGAAGGCTCGTCCTTCAATCCTGACAGGGACAAAGTAGGCAGACTTATGGATTTTTATACTGTATATTTCTTGCTCTTCATCCGAATCCTCTGCCGGACTATCGATTGCATTCAGTGCGTTTGTTCTGCCGGGGTGCTGCCTACACATTGTTCGCAAGTGACCTTGCTCCCCGCAATTATGGCACTTATACTTGCGATACCGGCAACTTTCCGAAGTATGGCGTTTGCCGCAACGGAAACACTCTGGGCACTCCGTTCTGCCACAACAGCTGTCCCTGCGACGACTGCTTTGCCTGAGAGCATCAACTTCTAGGCCGGAGCGCTTTTGTGAACTACCTTGGTGTCCTTCCAACGACAATGCCCGGGTTTGTGTGGAAGCTAGCTCACAGTTTAAAGCAATTTTACACGCCTCTTCGAATGTCAGTTTTTAGCTGCGAACAGCTCGCGTTGTGTATCGGTGCAGCGCAGCCCAGCGACAAGTCTGTCTCTAAGCGCTTCGTCGAGGAACTTTCCAAACTCGCAACTTCTGGCTAACTGCTTTAGCTGCACCACGAATTCAGCCACAGTGTCTTGTTCCAACTGCACTCTTCGGTTAAATCGGCATTTTTCGGCTATCACGACCTTTCGGGGACTGTAGTGACCTTTCAATAGAGTCGTCACCTCGTCATACGTTTTGCTGGCTGGCGAGTGTGGTATTAACAGGTTCTTCAGGACCTCATACACTCGAGGGCCTACAACTGTCAAGAATACAGCTAGCTTCTTGCCTTCTGTCACATCATTTGCCGAGACGTAAAGCTCAAATATTTCAGGTAGGACTCGAAGCTATCCCTCTTTTCATCAAAAATGTCAAGTTTTCCCACCTTCGCCATTGCAGTGACGCCCACGCAGCCGCCGTCTTGACTTCAGCAGCAACAGAAGCACGTGGAAAGCCGACCGGATCCCATCCTTGTCGCCAGTATAGTAGAGTTAGGCAGCCGAGCGGCCGTACTCAAAGGAACAACAGTGTCAGTTGCAGAACAAGGAATCCCCTGATTTATTCTTGGGCCACGCTTTTATAGGCATGCGGTCGCTTATCCGCTGCCGCGTCAGCGCAGCTGATGGCGAAGTGGAACGTCACGCAGTAGGCGTTATCACAAATATTATGATGGCAAGACTATAAATTGCATTAAGTGTTATCGATGTGAGTGTGCACGTAACTCCCATCATCGGCATTGCTTATCATATCAATCATAAAGTAGAAGTCGAAGTTGCATTGGATCCGACGTGCTGCGTCTTTTCGTTGAACCTTGATTATTTGATTTAAGGGGTTTAACGTCCCGAAACCACCATATAACTATTAGAGACGCTCTTGTGCAGGGCAATGAAAATTTTGATCACCTAGGGTTCTTTAACGCGCACTCAAATCTGAGCACACGGGCCTACATCATTTTTGGCTCCATCGAAAAAGCAGCCAACACTTTCCGTTGAACTTTGATTCAGAGTTCTTTTTATTCAGATAATTACGTCAACAATACACAACGCTCCGGCACCATGAAAACCAAACTTAAAAATTATGGAAGTAGACCTTTTGCAATGTCATTTTAAGAAGCCAGCAGGCAACGTTGTTATTTGTGAGGGTCATGTGTCTATAAAGGTAGCAATGACGGTGGAACGTCAGCAAAATCAACAGGGGAGAGAGATAATTTTTATGCTGGTGGCCCACACAACAGTACTAAAAAAGGAGCAATGTCGTGGAAACAAGTGTGTGTGGTTTCAGGATGAAGGTGCATATTTATATAAAGTGGTGTTATAGACAAGAAGATGCGAATAGTTTATATTTAGCTATATGGAATGTTCACGTGAGGTTATTTGGTATGCTGGAGTGCGGAGGCATGCACCACCGCCAAGTTAGAAAGTGGATTTGTTTTCTAGTAAGAAGGATCATAGATGGTTTCAAGGCCAGAAGCGTTGTACCTGAGAGAACTTCCGGTGGTCTCATTTACCAGCTCCTAACGTCGAATTCAAGTTTCTTTTAAACGTAAGAAATGTCTCTCTTTAGTTTTTCTGATAAAAGAAACGTGCGTAGAGTTCAAAAGAATATCTTACAATCTTTATGTACCTCCAAAAAACATATACTTAAAGAGATTTCGCCAAATAAGGAAAACAAGGTGTAGGAAAATCAGTGCGCGATTTTCTAAAGCTGTTCTTACCCAGCGATTCTATTTTGGCACGAAATCAAATGTCGTCGAGGGCTGTGTTTGTAAACAGTGAAAGGGTCTATAACGAGACAGGGGGAAGGTAGGGAGTTTAACAAGGTGGTACCTTGTTAGCCGGGAGGAGAAAAAAAGAATGGAAAAGGCAAGGAAGAAAGAAAGAACAAGCCGCATACTCACACAGATAGGTATTATCATTCACCGCTCATTCAGACAGTGATGACCGAAAAGTAATCGCGTATGGTTCCACTGCGGTCGTCACAGAGTACTACGGAATTTTGGCTTCCAGTAGTGACTACTTTGAGCCCTATTGACTACTTTACAATTTTATTTGGCGACGAAAACTTGGTGCCTTATTTGCTACATTTTTTGTGATATTTTATTATGTCTATGTATAGGTGTGCACAAATTGCCGCCTTATTGTAGGCCTTGTAGAGAGAGTCCAAATCTTCAAGTGACACTTTTTATTCTGCTTTTCCTCCATTCCTAAGAATATGACAATAGAAACAAAAATTGAAAATTATATATTCAACCAATTTAAGAGGCAATGTTCATCCCAACGATAATTTTCGGAGATCTAGGACTCAAAACCACAGCATGATTATTTTGGATGTCGTAATGGCCGGCTCTAAAAATTCTGATATTTTTCAATTTCACCTCAATCAAAACGCATAGGCATCTGACAATTTGCCTGCATAATAGTTAGACTTTTCATCTTTCAATACATTTCACTCTCTGTAGCTGTACTGGTAATAAGGAAACCCTGCTAGTTAATTGAACTCGTTGTATGGCTTCGCCAAAAGCACTGCTTCGACGTTTAACGGTCCTACTGACTTGTTGGCTGAAAAGTTCCAATATTATTTTGTATCATTCTACACAAGCTACACGTAGGCGCATAGGATTTGTTAAAATGTATCTATTTGCACCTTTTCTTTGGCATTTGCGCGAATGAAAGTGAAAAAAATTGCGCTCTTATTTTTATGATCATAGTTATTTATAATATTACCATATCTTCTGCTGAAGGAAAGCTGTGTGGTTGTGAAGCAGTAGGGAGATAGTGAACAGCACCCACGGAAGCTCTTATACGTGGCCTTAAGCAGGCGCACCCGCATTCAGAAGCTCTAAGTGACTAACGCTGCTGGTGACTATCGCTTGATGCCGCCGGGTACCGATGCAGTGAATGCTGCCGGTGAAATTGACTATAGCACTGCTAAACAGTTGGTTTCTCCACGCCAACGCCAGTGACGTCGAACGCAATCCCGTGCTAACCATAGTAGACGTGTTTTGCTTCATGGTAACGTCGAACGCTGCAAGAGTGATGATCAACGGCAGCGAAGTAGTCGTGTGTTCTGAGGCCATGTTTCATTCTCTTTGCCACTGACTCCGGAGAAGTAAAGGGAGCGAAAGATAGGATAGAGGGGCAGGGGTATGTGCATGTTCAGGGGAGTTGTAGGCATGGCAGAAAGGAGGAACGAACAATTTCCCATCATTAGATGCTTTGCATCTAAAGCTTATTGTTGGGGTAGGAAAAGTGTGGCTATAAAGCATCTTTTACTAAGTTACCGTTATTTTTCAAGTTCACTCAACGGCAACCCTGACCAGCAAAGACTGGTTGCAATGAATTAAGAAATTGTGCGTACTGACCTGGTAAAATTTTATTCCATTAAGGAGAATATCCATAAGGTGTGCAAGGAATATATTGTAATAAGACATATCTAGATCAGCATACGAATCACAAGAAACGGGAATGAAGCTCGATAATGAAGAAAGGTCACAGCCCATGGGTGAGTAGCAATGGATGGCCAAAATAATAAATTACCTTCTATTGTACTCTGCAATGGTTACCACTGGGCAACCTACAAGAACATAGAATATGAATGTGTGGCGTGCATTTTAAATCACTATTAGTCGTAAAGCTCATTCGTTTTAAAATCATCAACTCTAAGTACATTAAGGACAATAAAATAAACAGCAACCAGCCAACGAAGAGACATTTGTAAACTCAGTAAACTATTTTATGTGATACTTGTGGAATCATTCCATGCATATGAATGGTCCTCAAGACCTAAACTTGTTTGTTTGAAAAAATATTACCATGACAGGAAGTTGTCTCGCTTTTTTGTAAATATGATTTTAGGAAGATTAGAAAGAGAAAAATAATGAATGAAGGACTGGAGGTCAACAAGGCTGTATATTTTCAGCTTGCTACCGTACAAGGGGAAAGGAAAGCATTTCATTTTTTTAAAATTTTAATTTATTGATATTGTCAGCCTTTTCGGAGGGCTAATACAGGAGTAGAAACAAGTCGTATTTAACCAAACAAGTACATAGGAACCTCCCTCAATTTTTACTTGCATAGATCAGGCATTTTGAATTCCCCTATGTGCATTTACTGTAATCAAGAGGAAACGATCAGTCATTTTTTATTACATTGTCGCCGTTTCAATTTATTCGGGCAAAGCATACTAGCACCACATCTTCAAAGGCTGGGCTTGCAACTATCAAAACCTGATCTTCTTTCATTTGGAGCCTCTACACTGGGTTTCAGCCACAGATGTTTTATTCGCTGTTCAAGAATACATCACTGCGACTAAACGATTTTCTTGCTAAATTACTGTCTCACTATTTTTCTTCTTTTTTTTTCTGCCAACTTGATATCGGTATTTCAAATCAAAATTAGGTTACAAAAAATTTGTAGGAATGACGCATTGCTGAAAGTTTAGGGCAAATTCACCCTATAACCGGCCAATCTCCTTCTTTGGGTACGAGCCATTTGCACAGGGAAACAACAACAACAACAACAACATAGTAACAAGAGGAGAACAGAATCTTTGTTACTATAACACATCGTTTTGCAGCATGTATCAAAGTTCAGATCAGAAAAGCAGTATAATTGCAAGCCAATCAGTAATAAAAGAAAAAAACACATCGCTGTTGAGACAAATATTGTACAACTTATCAAAACATGTAATAAATATCGTAGTTTAATCACAAGACATGTAATTCACACATGGCATCATAATCTTAGTGCATAAACTCATAAAACACTATGGAACATATAGCTTCTAAAACTCAGTAAGGGATTTAGTTTTCACAACTGGATTTGGCAACAAATTACACGGTTGAATCACTCTAGGGAAGAAGCTGTACGTAAAGCGGTCGTTATGAGGTTTGTGAGGCAGTATGAATATACAGTGTCTGTGTCCTAAGGATTCTATTGTTTTGGTCTCAAAATACTTGTTGTAGCTTACTTTCTCGTGAATATTATTTACTAAGTATAGAAAGTCAATCCTTTAAATTTTGGTTCGTTTTTGAAGTCGTGAAAGCTCTGCAACTTTACATAATTCAGTAGGTGAATAAAAACGGCAGTATTTATTGAATATAAACATTGAACTAAGAAGCTGTATTTTCTCTACTTTCAAACAGTTTGTTTTGATATAGGGATTGAAAAGTAGTTTTGCATATTCGATTATTAGTCCTAGAAAGGAAATCTAAGCTAAAATTTTTATTTTGGGAGCAGATGGCACAGCAAGCAGACAAATAAACAATAAGAAAGGAGGTAAGAGAAAGTGATGCGCGTGTACACACAGCAGCGTTTACCGAACAGGCTGTCAAAGATATCGATTGCCATCAGAAAGCTGAACAGTGTTTATAGCGTCCACAATGCAGTATAGGCAATTATTTCCAGTGAACGCTCTTGCTTCAGGTTCATTTTAAAGAAGCATACAATTTCAAAATTTTATTGTTAAGACGAGGGCAGTATATTAAAATTAGATCTCCTTTGGCCAGGATATCTAGTCTGAATTAATTAAATCCGGTCGAGAGAAACCG